TAGGTATCTTTATCTTTGTGCGACTTGTAAAAATCTCATTGGTTTCTACCTTATGCAAAGAATGTAAGATTTTCAAGTTAAAGAGATTTCCTTGTTAGTATCGATTTCTGAATAAAGTCTTATTGAAATTATATATTTTTTCTTTCTAGTTTAACAGAATTAAAAGTGTTAGAAATGCGCGCAACACGTATGCGATTATTACCTGTTACATTACCAAAATTAACTAAACTTGAACGATTAGATTTAGGTGCTAATTCATTTATTGAATTCGTATGTTAAAATAAAAGTCAATTGTGTTACTTCAAATCAAAATTTTTTTTTCTTTTCTCATTAGCCTATTGTTTTAACAAATCTTCCATCTCTTAAAGAGTTATGGCTTGATTCAAATAAATTAATATCAATAGATGATGTAAGTTCATTTAATATATATATACATGTATTATTTTATTATTATTATTTTTCTAGTAAAAGAAAGAGTAAATAAGGTATTAGGCTTATTACCCCTTGCAAATATATTTCACACACTTCATATGTGTTTCTCTTAATGATGTTGTTGCTTTTATTATTTCTTTTGAATATACATATAAATATATGTTTTGTTTAGTCGATTGATAAATTAACAAATCTAACTTTTCTTGATATATCACAAAATCAATTAAGTGAATTACCATCTTCAATTGGTGATTGTAAATTAAGTGATTTACATGTATCAGATAATTTTCTTATTGGTTTGCCGGATTCAATTGGTAAAAAAAAAAAAACAAGAATTTCAGTTTTGAAAATTAAATTAAACTTAATTTTTTATTTAGTTAATTTAACTAGTTTAGAAACTTTAACAGCAAATAATAATCAAATTGAACGTTTACCGAATAATATTGGAAAGTAAGAAAAATGATAGAAACAAATGATTTTATTAATCGAAAAAAAATTTTTTTTTTGACTAATTAGTATGACATCATTAGTTGAATTACATTTATCATTTAATAATTTAACATCAATACCAACAAGTATTGGTTTATTACATAATTTACAATTTCTTACATTAGATCATAATCAAATTCAATCAATACCAGCAACTGTAAGAATATTCTTTTTTTTTGTTGGAAAGAATTATCATTATTTTTTGTTAATTAGATTGGTAGTTGTTCAAGTTTAAGTATACTTTCATTACGTTCAAATTGTTTAACAACTCTACCAGATGAAATAGGACGTTTATCTTTATTGAAAGTACTTAATGTTAGCGGTAAGATTTCATATTAATGAGAAATAATTATAAAAATTATTTAATTTTAATAGGAAATTTTCTTCGATATTTACCTTGTACATTATTAAAACTTAAAAACTTACAAGCATTATGGATGAACGAAAATCAAGTAAGTTCTATTTCGAATTAGTGTGTATGATTTAAATAAAGAGATTACATCGGCTAAAAGACTTATTAGCGCAACCCTTGTGGGATCAAATGTGAAATTCACATGTATTCGTTAAGCTTATTATACTAATGCAAAATATGTTATGCTAAAAATCTCTAGTAGACTATACTTGTTTTCTAAAGATAATCGATTGCTATAGAAACGGTCTATCTTACTTCAGCATTTCATTCAGAATTTTTTTTGTTTGCCGTATTGCTTTTCGTTTTTGTATTTCTATTTTTCTAACAATTGATTTGACTGGTAAATAAACCTGTTGTACATATGCATTATATTTACAAAAAGTATCGAATCGCTTTTCAATCAAAACAACGTTCATTTGATGAGTAGTCGACAAGTCTAAAATCGTTTGGTTTTCTGCCTCTTGGTTCTAGACATATCGAAACTTTACGGAAGCTCTTAACAAGAAGTTATAATCATGGATCAATGGACGTTCGACTTTCGGCTTCAAAATTTGCACGAACAAAGTCCTCAATGAGATTAGTTTATTGAGCAAGTTGTAAATTTTGTTCATGTATTTACATCTCTAGAAAGGAAAAACTGGTTGTACAATCAACTAATCTCATTCAGAGCTTTATTGTCGAAAATTGATTTTTTTTGACTAAAAACTGGAAAACGAGTCTTCTGTTGCTACGAAAATTAGCTAAGGATCGTTGGTATCCCTCCACCTCGTTTGGTAGGAAAAATTACTAATTGATCTCTCACTTTTGGTCCCGTTCCTATGAGGAAGAACTGCAAAACCTCAACTTCAGTTATATTTTTCTTTAAAAAACATCATGTGAATTCCACAAAATAGTTGTTTTTTGTCTCTACAGAAAGTAGAAACAGGTTATAAATAAAAGATTCGCATTGCAAAGAACTAAAGCTTATGTTGCAATAATTTAAAAAAAGAAAAAAATCTAGAACTTTTCAAATAAAAAATAAGAATTTTCTTCTCCAGTGAGGTGCTATACAAAGATGTATTCAGTATAATGATTGCGTTGCGTAAATATTCTTCTAAATCTGATGCGTCGAGCATATTTACACAGATGCTTTTGTATTGAGTAATAGATGTTTTAAACAACCTTGATTTTTCTTCATTCAGAATCACTTTCAGACAAAAGTAAGAGAGCTCCCTGACTGAGACCATATGCCTCCATTATAAATTCGTCTCTATTACATTTGTATTTAACTATTTGTACTCAATATTCAATTATTGGTTTAATTGCTTCATCAGTATATAATAGATGTGCACGCGGGTATGGATGTAAGTGTGCAGAAGACCTATCATGCTACACCCATACCTACATATATTCAAACCTTTCAATGCTTGAATTTCATCTTAGAGAATATGCAGATGGTAATCTGACTAGTATGAAACTGGGTATCGAATATGAAGAATATGTCAAAATAAAACATAGCATGAAGTGATCGTTTCTTTTTCTTGTTATGTTCTTGTGTTCGATTACTCATATTTGTTTCAATAAAGTGAATATCAAGTAGTCATTCAAGTAATAAGTTATCTTATTTAATATCCCTTTAGAAATCACTAAAGCATAATTTTTTTTACCAATTAAAAATAGTCTCTGCTGGATATAACTCCAAAACAAAACGACTCTTTCAGAATCAACGTGAAGAACTGTATCGAATGATATGTAACTTGTTAGAATTCCAAATGAAAAGTTTTTTACTGAACGTTGGGTTAAAGGCTCCTCTTAGTAGAGCCCATCGAGTTCGGCTCCTAATCTGACCCGAAAAGGTGCACCCAGAAATATGTACGTTGTGCTAGTTTCTCAATCTAAATATAAGCGAAAAAATTATATTGTGTTCTCTGAGTAAGTTGGAAGATAGGATAAAAAATTTTATTGAGAATATTAGAAGTTCGGATCCAAAAATATTGGGCCCAATGGACTCTCCTTCCAGTGAAACCGTTCAATCTTTTTAGTGAAGAGGAACTCTGCACAATTAGTAAATCTTGATAAGGTTTGAGAAATTTGTCTTTCAAAGCTCCACTTCTGGTGTTACATCAGTTTGTAATCGAAATTGAATAAACAGATATCGTGACATTAGAACTTTGTCAAAATATCCATGAAAATCTCTTAATTCTGTAAAATATGTATTTTGATTCTTTCAATTCACTCATTGAAAACTTCTAATGATAAAATGGATATATTGTTCGTTAGACAGGTTTAGCGATTTTCTTATTTGACTATCAATACATTACGTTTTGATATCTTTATGTTTTACTCTGTTCGCCACTCTTGAATGTAAAGGAAATATGTGAAGCGATTATTTTTTTCTTATATACCGATGTTTTTTTTCCTCTTAGGCAAAACCTTTAATTGCATTCGAACAAGAACGCCATCCAATAACAGGTCAACGTGTACTTACATGTATACTTTTACCACAAACTGATCCTTCAATGAATCGACATACATCAAGTATGAATAGTTTTTTTTTTATAAAATATTAATTTGAGAAAAACTTACGTATTTTCTAGAAAATCGATTTATTGCCGAACAAACAAATGATTATACGAATCGTCCAATAACTCTTCGTTTTGCTAATGATACAATTGATGAACCAGTAAAATATTTAAGAATTTGCTTTTGTTGAAATATATTTTATATTTTTTTATTTTAGCGACAACTTGTTCGTAATCCAACACCATATCCAAAAGAAATGCGAGCATTTGCTAATATTCTTCGGAATTATAATCATAATCATCAACGTCAAGTAAATCAGACACCTCCAAAAGTAACTATTTATCGAATATTTTTTATTAAATAATTTTTTTTTTTGTTTTCTCTTAGAAATATTCTTCTTCGTCAAATTTATTAATGGTTTGTGATGAAATTCCAATAGATAAATCTTGGTGTGAACGTACGAACTCGGCATCTGTTAGTTCAATGAATTCCGATCTATTATGTTGTCCATTAGCACGAAGTCACGATGATTTATTATTTAGTACTAGTCCATTAGATGATATTGAAAGAATGCGTCCCGATTTATTACCTGGACAAATAAATGATATCGATGAAAGTAAAAGTAATCATTCATTCTAGTTTATGTAAATAAGAACAGTCTATGAATATAAAAACAAACAAAAACAAAAAAACAATGTTTCCCATTTCAAAAATGGGAGTAATGCGTATATGTGCAATCGTTAAAGTTCTATTATGATTTCTATTGTTTATGTATGTGTATGAATGTTAATTGATTCGGATAAAACAAGAAAAAATTATTTATATGAAATAGTTGTAGAAAAGAAAAATTCGTATTGTTTTTTTTTCTTGGCTCATATATTCTAGATTTGATTAGTGACAAAAAAAAAATGAATTCATCAAAAGCTGAAGCTGAAAATATTGAACCAACAGCTGGTAAAGAAATGCTGGATAAATATTGGGCTGAAATTAAACATGAAATAGATGATATTAATATTGTAAGTAAAAGCCAAACTTGTTTTTGTTTTGTCATTGTGTTTCTATAATGTATCGCAATCAATTCTATTTGACATTGTTGTTATTTAGTACTCTTAAGTGACACTTATGTTTTATAATACACTTATTCTTAAAAGGTTTTACTTCTATGTTAAAGTTCAAGTTTCTGTAAATATTTCAATTCTAAAGAGAACATTTTCAAATATAACGGATGGCTAATAAAGAATGGGATATCTTGATTTTTCTTTTTTTTAGTTTGTTTTTTGAAAAAGTTTCTTCTGCTGCAGAAAAACTAAAAAATTGATAGAGATTGTCAGAAAACAAAATTATTATTAAAAATATGTTTGAATAACAGTTCCTCGAAATTCGAAATATGTTGCAAGATACGTCGTGAAATGTTGCATTGCGCAATGTTTCATAATTTGAGAAAACGAAAGAAAAATGGAAGAACAATTTCTCAAGCAAATATTGGAACGATGCAAAAAATTTGTTCTGGGAGCTCAATGCCATGAGACAATTTAAAGATCTTTCTTGTTTCGGTTTATTATTACCAGATCGTTTTTGAAAAGTAGAAAGCCCCGAAGTGTAAGTGTCCATTTTGAGTAGGTTTTATGCAAGTTTGTTAATCTTGACGGCATAAAGCATTCCATCCCATCAACTGTTTTTAAGGCATTGGGTCGATCTAAACTTCAGAAAAACAGCTAAGCTATTATCTCTCACACTGGATGCACCTACATAGATTGTACACATCCACAAAATCAACATAAATCAAACTTATGTCTATGGCTATACTTTGAGTATTTCAATAACAATGATACTATCGATGTACAGAACCCATCTAATATCAAATATATGTTCGTCTGTTTAGGGCATATTAAAAATTCATATTTCAGTAGTTTTCAAAAAAAAAATAGTTGAATTCCGTATATCTATTTTAATTGTGTGAATGTGTACAGTCAGTTAATGAACATCTAATGTTAAAGTTTCAAGCTAACAAAAGAATTAAAATTTCTGAAGTAAGAACTTACAGTCATTTTTCTAAAGTTGTGATCGGCCTAACATCTCAACAACAGTCAATGGAGAATAACGCTTTATCGCATCATGATCTCTACTATAATGTTAGTAACTTTTCTATTGTTTAGAAGTATTCAGCAGTGTTGACAATTTTATATGATACATGCAAAGTTGTATCAGATCATTCTGACAAAATATCGCAATTGATGCAAGATTAAAATGTGAAACACGATATAGTGGTCATTGCTAATCACAGAGAGATTGTTATCCTGGGACACATCTCTTCACCATCCTTTCACTTAATCCTTCAAAAATGCAATAAAGAAGTAGTTAATATATTGTAACACGACGTTATTGATATGCAGTCTTAGATTGTATACGAACAACGTCTATCAAAATGTGTGACACGGGGAATGAGTATGGATGGATGCAAATTTCTACTTGATATATTTCAGCACTCGTTTTAGATCGTGTTTCACAAATCAGATAATTTAATATGGTAAAGTATAGGAAAATCGGTTAATTTATTCTTGAGAAATTCTCAATTCAACTTAAGCCATGTATCATCTATATTATTTTTCACTTATAACAATTCAAGAAAAAAATATTACAAAATAAATACGAATCAGTAGTATTCAAAATGGGAGATCAATAGGCGAAAGGCACCTCTCCGAAGATCGGGTTGGCCCTCCCTCAATAATCGAAATCTTTGTATACGAATCATATGAAAAATATTTTCTAGATGAATCAATATCAATTTGTATCGTAATATAAATAAAAATTTTATTGTAGGTTGAATTTCGTACAACAGATTTGCCTTTAGCACGTATTAAAAAAATCATGAAATTAGATGATGATGTTAAAATGATTAGTGCTGAGGTACCGATATTATTTGCTAAAGCAGCTGAATTATTTATTCAAGAATTAACAATTCATTCATGGTTACAAACAGAAGAAAGTCGACGTCGTACATTACAGGTTAAAAAAAAAACAAAAATATTTTACATAAAATATATTTCTTGTTATCTTATAGAGAAATGATGTTGCTGCAGCTATATCAAAAAATGAATTATTCGATTTTCTTATTGACATTGTTCCACGTGAAGAAGCAACAAAAACACATAAGAAAAAAGAAAGTGTTAGTGAAGTACAATATATTGTTACATTACCAACATCAAGTGGCATGGGCAATACTATTCAATTACCTAGTAAATCATTTTTTCTTATTCAATAATATTCAAATCTATTTTATTTTTTTTTGTCTAGATGGTCAAATTATTCAATTACCTCAAAATTTATCATCAAATATTGTTACTATGGCAGTAAGTTGCAAAATTAATTTTGTTTTTATTTATTATAAATAATCAAAATCTTTATGTTTATTTAGAGTCCACAAGGTACACAACAACAATATACAATTGGACCTTAAATAAAAGAGATATTCTATTTCATTTGTTTTGTGCAATGTTCAGATATCTTATTCTTCTTTGTATGAATATTTTATGTAAACAACAACCATATATATCTTTCTCTCTCTCTCTCTCTATATATATATATTTTTCGTTCATTGTGTAATATTCTTGATGAGTACTTGTTAGTGTATATTGTCCATTCTATTTCTCTGGATGTATTCTAGATTAGTTAAATATGACACAAACATCAGCAAGTGAAAAAAGTGAAGCATTACAACCAACAGAAGGAACTGAAATGCTTGAACGTTTTTGGTCAGAAATACGTGCTGAAATTGAATCGATAAATATTGTATGTGTTTACATAATTGAAATAAAAAAAGAGGAAAGATATTCGTCTTCATTTTTTTAAGATGGATTTTCGAGCCAGTGAATTACCATTAGCACGTATTAAAAAAATTATGAAATTAGATGATGATGTTAAAATGATTAGTGCTGAAGTGCCAATACTATTTGCTAAAGCAGCTGAAATATTTATTCATGAATTAACATTACGTGCATGGCTGCATACAGAAGAAAGTAAACGACGAACATTACAGGTTTAAATAGAAAGATATGATTTTCTTTGTTTTGAAATTCTTTTTTCTCATGATTTTAATAGAGAAACGATGTTGCAATGGCTATAACAAAATATGAACAATTTGATTTTTTAATTGATATTGTACCACGAGAAGAATCAAAACCGCATAAAAAACATGTAAATTTATATTAACAGAAAAAGAAAAAGAAATTTATTGAATTCGATTTAGGATAATAATATGGGTGAAGTACAATATATCGTTACACTTCCACAGGCAAGCCAACCCAGTGCTATTCAATTACCGAGTAAGAATTTATTTATATTTGTCTTACGAGGGAACCGTTCCAAGTAATTCACGCCGATTTTGCTTATATTTTGCCCATATGTAGTGGTCAGTATGCTAAGAAAAAGCCTAAGAGGATTTGGGCCCATGTTGCTTCTTTCGAAGGTTATGGCCATTTTACTGATTTTTCGGCCTATGACAAGGTATTTACAAAAAATTCAAATGACGNTTCTTTTGAGCTAAAATTTTCGGGGCATTCTACTCACAACTAGATCTGTCTATGGGCAAAATCTCAACCCGAAATATCTTCATTCGATATTTTGGTAAATACCATGCCAGAGGCTGTAATTCCAGTAAAATCCCTGTAACTCTGAAAAGAAGGCCTAAGGGCCGTTATCCTTTTGGAGTTTTTCATACTTCACTGGGGTTTACCTTATGCACAGGGTCCGAACTCAAAAGCGATTGGACAGTTGGGGACCTTCCCTCGTAAGTAGTATTGGCTACGCAGTGAGTCGATGTTACTTCGCTCTCTCCTAGATAATCTTAAGGGATCTCTTCGGCAAGTTCATTTTTTTCGGAAAAAATCGAAGTTCAGTTCTTATTATAAGATGCAGCGAAATTTCTTCTCTTAGAATACATATAACATGTCGAGGAGACACCAAATTGCAACAAAATTTCGGAAGAAATGTCAACCCTACTACTGTGTTTTCCGAAAATTTTCATGATTTTGATAAATCTTTTTAGTTTTAGAAGTACTGCCTTTTTATCTGTACTAACATTGAGTGAACATTCTTAAATAATTTAAGTACGACTAATGATGCTAGTTTACGTTATCTGCTACGTACTTGTAAAAATTCGATTGATAGATATATTATGAATATGCCATTATAAAGCGTTTTTTTCTGGATCTGAATAAAAAAAAATTCATGTCTAAACTTACTTACTATTTATCTCAGAACATTGTTTTCAATTTGAACAATTGAAACTCCGCTTCCGTTCAGTTCAAAATATAACCAACATTCTTTTTGTTTTACATGCCTAAATGAGAGTAAACTTTGGTCTGATCGGATATTTTATATTTAATTTCTGTGTCTGAGAAAAGAGAAGTTTAGTGTCGTGAAGTAAGATTTTTTTGCTTATTTTAACACCATATGCATAAAAATGATTATAAAAAGTGAGCGGGAAGAAAATTTCAAAATTTTGTTTAGACTAAAATTGTGCACAGGTGTTGGCTTTAATTTGAAGCCATCGTGAGCTCTATACAGCTTGTCGACGTAACGTGCTACTTCAGGTATTAAATTTTTAATTCAAAATTCGAAACAAACGTTTATGCAATGTTGTAGAGCATACTCGAAAGCGCAAGATAATATATTTTGTTACTCGAACAAATATTTTTGTGAGCCTTTCAAAACCTATCTACTAAGTGCTAATCGCCACATTGTGCGTTGAAATTTTTTTCTGTCTCACTTTACAACAAACTGCACCTTGATGCCTAACTTCGAAGTTCTGCTATGAAATGTTTTTGTAAGTTATCAAGTATGGTCTTCTTTTTGACAAAAGAATAAACTTTTGTCTTTTCCTTCACATTGAGAAATTCTCAAAATAAAGCCTGTGCAATATTGCTGTCACAGTGTTACGAAAAAAGATCTTATTTTAAAACTTATGTGAGCCGCTTGCGGGATACCAGTAAAAAAAACTAGCGAACCTTACCTAACTTTTCAAGACGAATCTGATTCACTACTCTTTCTTCCAAAAATATTGAATCTTGAGAAAGATGAACGTAACTCTGTGACGAAAAGCTGATTTTCGGTACTAGTTTTAGTTTATATAATTGTATAATAATCTCAATACTATAAGCGTCAGATAATGACTGGATAGAATTCAAACCTGATTTTAATCTTTTGTTTATTTTCCGACATATTTGGCTATGGTTAACTTTAGCCATAGCAACTCCTGCGTATTGAGGAAACGTTTTGAAATGGCCAATCACTTTTGCGCTCAGACTCTGTGCATAATGTAGACCCCATTGAGGTATGAAAAACGTCTAAAGAATAAATTCCCTTAGGTCATCTGTCCAGACTTATAGGCATTTTACTGCAGTTTTAGTCTATGGCATAGTATATACCAGCAAATTGAATTATGGTATTTCAAGTTGAGATTATGATCGCAAACAGATCTATTTGTAAGTAAAATGTTCTTAAAATTTCAGCTTAAAAAGATGTTTCCTTGCTGAGATATTAAAGTCCCAAAAAAGAAAGAAAATTCTAGCATCTTCCGCGGGATATAATTGATTGTTGGCACTTTAATATCTCAGGAAGAATACATTTTTTTTTCAGCTGAAATCTTCAGGACATTTTACTCACCAATAGATCTGTTTGTGGGCATAATCTCAACTTGAAATATCGTAATTCGATTTGTTAGTATATACTATGCCGTAGACTAAAATTTGCAGTAAAATACTGACAACTATGGACAGAAGACCTAAGAGAATATATCTTTTAGGTGGGCGGGGGAGGGGGGGGGGATTCATACCTCAATGGGATCTAAATTACGTACAGGGTCTGAACTCAAAAGTGATTGGTTAGTTGAATATCTTTCCTCGTGAGTGTGTTTCTAATCTATAACAGAAGTACACTTTACTGCATCAGGAAATTTTGAGCCTCGCAGAGGCCTAAGAAGTATCTCCATGCGTCGACGCGATTTTCAGTAATTAGAGTCGCAGAAAAGTCTATTAAGAAGTTAAAACAACTGATTCAGACGAATCTTGACTCAATAGAAAATACGATATCAATCTATGAGAAAAAGGATGTCACACCATTACATTTTCTTGTTGCTTCTCTTATACGAGTAACAATAACTGGAGTAAAACGTTTTTTATCTTTGAAAAGCTCGTTCGACGCTCTGCAAAACTTGCTCTAGAAGCATTTCATTTGGAGATCATCTTTCACAGGAAATTAGAACTTACGAAAGAGCATTCCGAATTCAGGGTCTTTTTATTTCACGGCGTTACCTGATCAAAATCCCTTTTTAGAAGCTTGAGACTTCAACCAAAAGACGTCATTATTATTGCATAAGGTCGAGCACGATAAGCGGTGCCGACTGTTGTTTGAACAAATTTTTAAATCTTAGTTTCTGAGATGATGGGAAAAGTTTGTCAAAAACGTCACAACGTTTCGTTTGGACAAGCCTATAGGCGTTATGTGTCATTGTGCTGGCGTATGTGAAGGTATGACTATGAGCATCAGGGTGAATGTAACTCTGTTGATATGGTATATCTGGGAAATGTTGGTTTCAGATATGAGTGTGTGACGGTGTGTGAGTTTGGATTCAAGTACGATTGGTTGAATTGATGAACAGAAGAACCACGTAGACACGCACATCTACACCGAGACGCATATCAACATCCAGATTAGGCTCATGCAAACTCAAGTCTATCTATACATTTGATATTAGTGTCGATAGAACTTGTAAAGCAGTAAGTTATACAGAAAGAGTTGAACATTCAGGTGAGAGTCAAGTGAGTCACAACGACGAGTTTTATTTGTGATTTATACATCAAAATTTACCAATGTTAAAGGAATTATTTTCACCATCAATTAAACCTTTAAAAAGCTAGTATTGCATCGAAAATAACATTGAAAATACCAAAAAGTTCAACGGTTATGATAATAATGTTTCTTAAGAAGCTACTCATAGGTGAGCATTGGTGAATTATCCATGCTAGAGAATTCTACGACTACTCATGAATATTTATGGGTTTTGTGTACTCATCAGTCGTAATTGTACTCAAATTTGAGTATTTCAGTACGGAAAATGAATATTCACCTTTTAATTTTGAGTGTCTTGTGCGTACTTCTATATTGTATTTGTGTCTTTCAGTGGTCTATGTTTAGTATTTCCACGCATATGTTAGTTTTAGTATTTTTGTAGTACATTTCTATATCTGTTTCATTTAAATATAACAAGTAACGCTCATCGTTGCAACTCGCAGGATGCTCGACTGAATGTTCGACTCTTCCTGTATAATATACTACTTGACAAGTCTAATCGATACTAATATCAAATGTATTCATGAGAATGGGTATGAAGGTCAGCGTCCGTGCGCGTGCACATGTACGTGTCTATATTGGTTTTGGTGAGGATGTCGCTGTATGTGCCGTGTGATGTCTCCCTCCGCCTATTCAACCAATAATGCTTACACTCACACACCCACAACCACACCTGAATCCGCCAAACGTCATGCTCACACCCTACACCAACATAACCACAGGTCACCTCAACACACTCACACCCAACATCATATACAACATTCCTACACTCATACCCACAAGCATAGCAATGATTACACTGACATTCATATTCCACACATTCATATCCCACACATTCATCGTACCTACATACACAGAACACCCCAAGAGTAACGCTCACATGCACACTTCACACTTAAACTCATACCAAGCGTACGCGCATACCAACAACCACAATGCGCCCACGCTTCACACATAAAAAATACCTATATTCACATAAAATCTCAATATCCACACCTACATTCACGCTCCATATATGATTGGATAGCTGGCAATTTAAAAATCTTATTAAAGAAAGTTGGATATCGAAAGTATATGATTAACTCAACTTTTAGAATGAAACACTGACTCAACAAAAGTTATGAAAGTAAAATATGTCATTCGCTGAGATCCTAGCCTAAGAAAACTGATTAGACGGAGGCTGGAAATGGTAGACAGATGATAGGCTGAAATTTAAAGTGCAAAAAAACATGAACTGAATGAGAGCTCGATAGTGAAAGCATCTGATTGGCGGAAGGTACATCATAAAAAAGCACCTTACATAGTTAGTCTGATGTTGCAGAAGTACATGTGGACAGATGCATGCAAACATGCAAAAGTGCCATCGTCTTTTATTGCATATGACTGTCCTTTCCATCGAAGGAACTAGCATTAACACCAGCTATCAAACTGGTTCCATGATTCAGATTGACAGGATTTTGATGTATGCAGGACTTTGGTGATGAATGGCCACATTTCATATTTGACATTCGCTTTTATCAG